CCTGCATCACCGAGTCACCGCCACACTACTCACCGAAAGAACAACTCGACAACACCACACCTCGCCGCGAGTCACTTCAACCGAATCCAACATACGCAGCTATCGCCCAGAGTGAACCATCCGGGAAAGACACATGGTTCCTGGACAGTTGCTGCGGGCAGCATATGTGCTCCTCGGGTCGCTTCGTTCAACGCGAACATCAACTCCAGCGAGACGTCGTTATCACCGTTGCCAACAACCAGAACCTGCGCACACGACGACAAGGCGTAGTGCAACTTCAGTCACGAGAAACAAACGTCATACTGCAGATGTCCAAGGTTTTAATAGCAGAAGGGCTCGGATACAACTTACTGAGCGTCAGTCAATTGATGGCGAAAGGAATCCACCTCGAAGCAGACAGCACAACACAGGAGTTCAAGCTGTACCACGGGAAGGGTGGCCTCTACATCGGCAAGGCCGTACTGAAGAACAACGTGTTCGTCCTCGACTTCGTTCCAGACCTCGGCACCGCCGACAGCGACGGAATCGTCACCTTCACCTCCTGGACGCACCCACCAGATCTCGATCCAGACTTCAGCCCCGAAGGTTTCTGGTATTCGCATACCATTCCTGAGGCAGAACGAACAAGAGCATTAGCAACGATTCAACACTCGGCAGCAGCAGGGACAACAACGGCAGCAGCAGAGACAACATCGGCAGCAGCAGAGACAACATCGGCAGCAGCAGAGACAACATCGGCACCAATCGCGGGTCCTTCAACAGCACCAGCCCCAATCGACGACGACACCCCACCAACTCTTGCACAACAGCTGAATCCAACACCTCGAGAAGTACATCGAAGCGCCAACTTCACCGCCAGCTTCTACTCCAACTCCGACCTGTACCGACGATCACCCGGACATCGCGCCGACGAAAGCACCTGGCACGCAAGGATGGGACACCCAAGCAACACAGTATTAAATAATACGATAAGAGCAGGAGTACTCGACAAGGACTCACTACTACTGACTGATGGAAGAGAACTTCAACGCGTACGTGGAACGTGTTTCACCTGCCCTGAAGCTGACTTACCGCATCAACCGTTCGCGTCTCACCATAACCCAAGCGCACCAGCTTACGCGCCACTCGAGAAAGTGTACAGCGACATCCTGTACAATCGCGAACCGGGGCAGAACGCGTACAATTACACCATCACGTTCATCGACGCCGCGACACGTTACGTTTGGCACCTGAATCTTCCAAGCAAGGATATGGCGTTCGAAGCGTTCGTCGCCTGGCTCCCCGTAGCAGAAAGGGAATCGGGCGTCAAACTAAAAAGCTTCCAGTCAGACGGGGGAGGAGAATACACCTCACAAAAGTTCAAGCAGTACCTGGCAGAGAGAGGAATCAAGCGGCTCATTTCCCTTCCCTACGCCCATCAACAGCAGGATGTAGCAGAGAGGATGAACAGGACCCTCCAGAACACCATGCGGAAACTGTTACGTGGCATGCGGCTACCCACTCACCAGTGGCCAGAAGCAATGGACCACGCCGTGATGCTGCACAACTTGCTTTCTTCGTCGTCACTACCGAACAACACATCACCGCATCTGCTGTGGACAGGAAAACTGGGCAGCACAAAAATGTTACGAGTCTTCGGCTGCATGGTACAGTACCGATCTCCATCTGCACGAGCAGGACGATTCTCTCAGCGCGCACAGTGGGGACTACACCTGGGCATCGAAAAACACTACAACGCATGGAAGATTTTCGACGTCGCGACAAAAGAAACAGTGGCAGCACGTGATGTCATTTTCTACGAGCGGCTCACACTGCAGACGTACCTTGCCAACCTGGACGAAAACCGAGACCCCACAGGTGGCTTCCGAGGAGACCGAGCCTTCGCTTCGGCAGAAGACGAAGCTGACTGGGACGAGCAGAACGTGGAAGGAGCCTCGGAAGAAGCCGGACCCCTCCCCTACTGCTCCGTCAACGTGCCAATGGACGACGAAAACCTACGCGAAAGCATCAACGCCGACGCCTACTACCATTTCGCTGACAACGGTTACGTTACACCTGCACAAGTCAACACCGACGAAGCAGAACGCGTAGGACCTAATTTCGCACCTAATCCAGAAGCGGGAGACGAACCAGTTTATCCCGAGGACACTTCACTCCCCCGCTACATACAGAGTGGACTCCAAATCCTTGGTCTCGTCACCGCAGTTCACGGCGCAGCCATTCCTAAAGAGCCTGCGACAGTTCAGCAGGCTCTGGGGGGGGAGCATAAGGGAAAATGGCGCGAAGCCATGGACAAGGAGCTGAAAGCACTGGAAGAACGGAACACCTGGAAAGTTGTTCCCATCGGCGTCGCACGAAACAAGACAGTACTCACCGGAAAATGGGTCTTCCGCGTGAAGACGAAGGCCGACGGCACCATTGACAAATTCAAGGCACGCTGGGTCGTGCGCGGCTTCGACCAAGAACACGGGCGAGACTTCACCGAAACTTTCGCTCCGGTCAGCCGACACACTTCGCTCCGAATCCTCCTCGCGATCGCCGCCATGAAGAAAAAGAAGCTACGGCAAATCGATGTCGCGAACGCATTTCTCTACGCACCCGTTGACGCAGAAATTTTCGTGGAACTACCGCACGGTACCAATGGTGAGCCCAACCAAGTCTGTCAGCTGCTAAAGTCGCTCTACGGGATCAAGCAAGCTCCGCGGCTATGGCAGCAGTACCTGCACGCCCGCCTCATTCGCATCGGCTTCAAGCAATTACCACACGATCAGGGGATGTACCGACTCACGAAAGGCGCAGATTACATCCTGCTAATCGTCTACGTAGACGTTCTCCTCTACATCGGCTCAACCGACAGCGTCACCACCTGGTTCGAAGGGGAGCTGCAGCAGGATCTCACACTGACAGTCTCAGCTACCGTTACACAGTACCTCGGGCTCAACATCCGGGAAGAGGAAGACGCCATCTACCTCAGCGCCGCGAAATACGCCGACACCATCGCCAAGCGCTTCACACTCACACCAACTGCTATCTCCACACCGTACCGCTACACGACAGGAAATAACAAAGAAGGCTCCGCTCTGCTCAAGCCCGCCGGCATACGCGACTACCAGAGAAAGCTGGGCTGCCTTCTCTACGCAGCTGTCACCTGCCGCCCAGATCTATCGTACTCTGCAAGTCAACTCGCCACCTACCTCAAGAAGCCCGAAGCGGAACATCTAGCAGAACTCGACCGCGCTCTTCATTACCTCATTAGCACCCCGACGATTGGTCTAACTTATTACAAGAACGCAACTACGCCGCCTAAGTTAATCGGCTACGTCGACGCCGATCACGCTGGCGATTCCGACAACAGGCGTTCTCGCACTGGCTACATCTACCGCCTCGAACCTATCGGACCTATCTCTTGGCAGTCGAGCAAGCAGGAACTAATCGCCCTCTCGTCAGCTGAAGCAGAATATATTGCACTCTGCTCAGCCACCAAGGAAGGACTTTACCTTCGCGAACTGCTGGAAGAAGCGAAGCTGGCTCAGTTACCCAGCTTCACTCTGTTCTGCGACAACCAGTCGGCAATTCGCATTGCCAACAAGAACGGCTTCGCGAACAGAACGAAACACATCGCCCTGCGATACTTCTTCGTGAAGGACGAGATCGAGAAGGGGAGACTCGAGCTGTCATACTGCCCCACGACCGAGATGGCAGCTGACTACTTGACCAAGAAGCTCGGGAAGCAGAAGTTTGAGTACTGCATGCTGCTGACTGGACAGAGCCACGTCACCAGCAGCGACACTCCAGAAGCGAAGGGGAGTGTTGGAAACAATCAGTCTTAAGCGCCCCTGTCGTGTCGAAACACCAAGACACAAGCGAAGCAAAGCATATCGAGGCACCAGCGAGTCAACCCTCGGAGGTTGAAGTAACCGTTGGAGGTTACGCGAAAGTCAAAGGTCAGCGACCTTTGACCTGACAAGTACAGCGCGACAGCAAGGACACACAACTGACTCGCTACAGAGCAGTTGCCCGAGTCGTCACTGTATCGAACCGCAACAGCAACAGTAAAGTAGTTACAACCGTGTCTCTTCGTATTCCTTGTACTCTTATATAATCTTGTATCTCTTTGCTTTAATCAATCGACTTTGCCCTCACATACTAGCGCAAGGTGGTTCACAATCTCTTCACTAAACGCTTCCGCTATTACAATCCTACCCAGAGTTCATCCCTGTAAAGATCCTAAGGGCTTTTCTCAGCCCAACAACAATAAGATCCTCCCCACAACATTTCAGTCAACCACTCCATATGGGTAGTAGCTATATAAGGTATACTCTACTGCACGTATTCTCGCACATCGCGAGAGATGGATGGATTCGAGAAAAGCAACGAACCGCATGCCCACTGCCCGACCCTCCACGTCCCCATCCACAACCTGCTCCTCAATCAGAAACGTCTCAAAAGGGGCTGTGCTGTGCCGTGCTGTGATGTGCTGTGCTGTGCTGTGCTGTCCGCTCCTCCCCTCCTCCACACTCCTCCCTTCTCTACTTCATGTATTCTCGCACATCACGAGCAATTGACTCCAGGAAGGCAACAGACCCCATGCCCACCGCCCCGCCCTCTACGTCCCCATCCACATCCTGCTCCTCAATCAGAAACGTCTCAAAGGGGGCTGTGCTGTCCGTCCTGCCAGTACTGCCAGTGCTGTCCACGCCTCTCCTCTTCTCTACTCCGCCCCACTTCTCTACCTCCCTTCTCTCCCCTCGTCTCAAAAGGGGCTGTGCTGTCCGTCCTGCCAGAACTGCCAGTGCTGTCCACGCCTCTCCTCTTCTCTACTTCATGTACTCCCGCACGTCCCGTGCTATAGATTCTAAGAAAGCAACAAAGCCCATGCCCACGCCCCCCCCCCTCCACGTCCCCATCCACATCTTGCTCCTCAATCAGAAACGTCTCAAAGGGGGCTGTGCTGTGCCGTGGTGTCCACTCTCCTCCCCACCTCCCCACTCCTCCCTTCTCTACTTCATGTACTCCCGCACGTCCCGTGCTATAGACTCTAGGAAAGCAACAAACCCCATGCCCACCGCCCCGCCCTCCACGTCCCCATCCACATCCTGCTCCTCAATCAGAAACGTCTCAAAGGGTGCTGTGCTGTCCACGCCTCCCCGGATGGTGATTGTACGCGGCGTGATTATGCGGTCGGCCTTCAGCCGGTTGATGGTCGTCCGCAGCAAGCCTAGGAGGGAGGGTTGTTGAGAGGGAGAAGAGGGATAAGGGAGGACAAGAGGCATTGGTGATTGTACGCGGCGTGATTATGCGATCAGCCTTCAGCCGGTTGATGGTCGTCCGCAGCAAGGCTAGGAAGGGGGGGAGGGAGGGACGGACGCACAGAGGGAGGGAGGGGAGGAGGGAGGGAGGGAGATGACACAGAGAAGATGTGGGGTGTTGAGAGTGACAAGTGCTCCTGGGGAGGAGGCAAGCAGGGGGCACGCATGTTAGGGTAAGAAAGAGAAGGGCTACTTACCTGTTTGAGGCGGTGGGTCGAATTTTGAGGCGCCTCAAAATTCAGCTCAATGCACAGGGAGGGAGGGGGATGACAGAGAGGAGATATGGGGTGTTGAGAGTGAGAAGTGCTCCTGGGGAGGAGGCAAGCAGGGGGCACGCATGCTAGGGTAAGAGAAGGGCTACTTACTTGTTTGGGGCGGAGGGAAGGGCAGGTCCGCAGGAGCAGCTGGCGAGTAAAAGACGATGATGGTGCTGAATGCGGCAAGCAGGAAGATGGGGCTCCCGCTGGTGACGCGTAGTGCTTGCCTGCACTACTTACTCACCGCTGGTGACAGGTGGTGCGTGCTGAATGCGGCAAGCAGGAAGATGGGGCTCCCGCTGGTGACGCATGAGTGCTGCTGGTGACGCATGAGTGCTGCTGGTGACGCATGAGTGCTGCTGGTGACGCATGAGTGCTGCTGGTGACGCATGGGTGCTGTGACGAATGAGTGCTGCTGGTGACGAGGCATGCAGGGCAAGTGTGCCAGGGCGACTAGCAGGAAGATGGGGCTGCCGCTGGTGACGTAGCGAGGCAAGCAGCCATCTGCCTACGGAACCAAAGGTCAACTTACTCGTTTGCGGTGGAGGGAACGGGAGGTCGGGGGGAGCAGCAGGCGAGTAGAAGACGATGATGGTGCTGAATGCGGCAAGCAGGAAAATGGGGCTCCCGCTGGTGACGCATGAGTGCTGCTGGTGACGCATGAGTGCTGCTGGTGACGAGGCATGCAGGGCAAGTGTGCCAGGGCGTCTAGCAGGAAGATGGGGCTCCCGCTGGTGACGTAGAGAGGCAAGCAGCCATCTGCCTACGGAACCAAAAGGTCAACTTACTCGTTTGCGGTGGAGGGAACGGGAGGTCGGGGGGAGCAGCGGGCGAGTAGAAGACGACGATGGTGCTGAATGCGGCAAGCAGGAAGAATGGTCTGCAGGGGCTACTCGTTTGCGGGTAAAAGAAGATCAACTTACTCGTTTGAGGCGGTGGGAAGGGCAGGTCTCGTCTGCAGGAGCAGCAGGCGAGTAGAAGACGATGACGGTGCTGAATGCATCGAGCAGGAAGATGGGGCTTCCGCTGGTGACGAGTGCCGCGCGGCTCAGGGAGTGGCGGGGAAAGGCTGGGGAAGGCTGGGGAGGCATGCTAGGGTAAAAGAATATCAACTTACTTGTTTGGGGTGGGAAGGGCAAGTCCGGGGGAGCAGCGGGCGAATAGAAGACGATGATGGTGCTGAATGCATCGAGCAGGAAAATGGGGCTGCCGCTGGTGGCAAGGGCCGCGCGGCTCAGGGAGTGGCAAGCAGGGCGCGCATTCTAGGTTTAGAGAAGGGCTACTCACTTGTTTGTGGCGGGGGAAAGGGCAGGTCGGGGGGAGCGGCGGGCGAGTAGAAGACGACGATGGTGCTGAATGCGTCGAGCAGGAATATGGGGCTCCCGCTCGTGACGAGGGCAGCACGGCTCAGGGAGTGGCGGGGGAATGCGGGGCGGTCGGGAGTGGTGTAGGAGGAGAGGACGGGGTAGACTGCTCGCATGAGGAAGGAAGGATCGAGCGAACTGCGGTGGGGGGAAAAACAGAGGGGTGCAGAGCGGTAGAGGTGGAAAAGAATGAGGTACAGAGTGGTGGAGAAGGGTCGGTCGGGAGTGGTGTAGGAGGAGAGGACGGGGTAGACTGCCCGCATGAGGAAGGAAGGGTCCAGGGAACTGCGGTGGGGAGGGGTGGAAATATCAACAGAAGGGTGCAGAGCGGTAGACATGGGAAAGAGTGTGGTAGGGAGTGGCGGGGGAAGGAGAGGCGGTGAGGAGTGTAGGAGGAGAGGACGGGGTAGACTGCCCGCATGAGGAAGGAAGGGTCCAGGGAACATAGCAACAAAGGGAGTGGGAATATCAACAGAGGGGTGGAGAGCGGTAGAGATGGAAAGAACGAGGTACAGATTGGTGAGAGAGTGAGGCGCAGAGTGGTGTAGGAGGAGAGGACTGGTTAGACTGTCCGCATGAGGAATGAAGGGTCCAGGGAACTGCGGTGGGGAGAGCACAAAAAAGCAGGAAGAGATGCAATGAAGCACTGAAGGAGGGGAGTAGGAAGGAGGGTAGCACCACCAAATCGGGTACGCAGCGCTTGTGAGGTGCGTTTTGAGATGTCCCAAAACACGTCTCAAATCTTGAGACATCTCAAGAACGTCAAGAATACCTTCAGTTTTTAACCCACACCTTTGGGACACGTCTCAAAACGCACCTCAAATCTTGAGAGACATCTCAAGAACGTCAAGAATACCTTCGGTTTTTACCAAGGTCAAGAATCTTGTGACTTTTGAGGCGCCTAAAAAAACCGCGTGCATTGAGGTGTATTCTGAGGCGCCTCAAAGGACATCTCAAGATCGTCAAGAATACCTTCAGTTTTTACCCCACAACCTCAAGGTGACTTTTGAGTCGACTCAAAAGTCACAACGTCAAGAAAACCTTCAATCTTTAACCCACACCTTGGCAGCTACAGCAGGAGAATTCTGCAGACAGCTGGAGGGAGACAGGGGGAGGAGAACAGAGGTGGAAATTGGTGGAGAGAGTGGAAAAATGGTGGAGAGGGGTGGAGAGCTCTCACCTGTATAGGCAGTGCAGGAAGGTGCGCAAGTCAGGATGCACCCCCTCCCTTGACAGCTGCAGCAGCGGCGAGCAGAGGAGAGAGCTATAGATAGAGGCCTAGGGATATTGAGAGCGGTGGAGTGTGGTGGAGGTGAACAGAAACCTTACCTGTATAGGCAGTGGAGGAAGGTGCGCAAGTCAGGATGCACCCCTTCCCTTGGCAGCTGCAGCAGCGGCGAGCAGAGGAGAGAGCTATAGAGGCCTAGGAAGATATTGAGCGGTGGAGTGTGGTGGAGGTGAACAGAAACCTTACCTGTATAGGCAGTGGAGGAAGGTGCGCAAGTCAGGGTGAACCCCTTCCCTTGGCAGCTGCAGCAGCGGAGACCGCAGGAGGGAGCTAGAGAGAGGTTGAGAGCGGTGGAGAGCAGTGGGGTATGGTAAAGAGCTCTCACCTGTAGAGGCAGTGCAGGAACGTGCACAAGTCAGGATGCACCCCTTCCCTTGGCAGCTGCAGCAGCGGAGACCGCAGGAGGGAGCTATAGAGGCCTAGGGAGATATTGAGAGCGGTGGAGTGTGGTGGAGGTGAGCAGAGATCTTACCTGTAGAGGCAGTGCAGGAACGTGCGCAGGTCAGGGTGAACCCCTTCTCTTGGCAGCTGCAGCAGCGGCGAGAGAGGTGGAGAGCGGTGGAGAGCGGTCTCACCTGTAGAGGCAGTGCAGGAACGTGCGCAGGTCAGGGTGAACCCCTTCTCTTGGCAGCTGCAGCAGCGGAGAGAGCTGGACAGGACTACGGAGAGAGTGAGAGCGGTCGAGAGAGGTGGAGAGCTCTCACCTGTATAAGCAGTGCAGGAACGTGCGCAAGTCAGGGTGAACCCCTTCTCTCGGCAGCTGGAGGAGCGGCGAACGGAGAAGCGCAAAAGCCAGCCGCGGCAGCGGCTGCAGCTGCGGGCAGGCTGAGAAGGAGACGTCTAGGCGAGTGACCGAGTGGGGTTGGTTGAACTGAGCGAGTCCGAAGGCGTGGTTGTAATGGGCGGTGAGAATGACCAGCCAGTCCTGTAGGAGGAGTCTGCCTTCCCTCGCACCCTCTTCCAGAGATGCACGGATGACCTGTGGGGTGCCAAGGGGGAAGAGGGAGAGAAAGGAGGTAGAGGAGAAGGCGTGGTTGTAGTGGGCCGTGAGAATGACCAGCCAGTCCTGTAGGAGGAGTCTGCCTTCCCTCACACCCTCTTCCAGAGATGCACGGATGACCTGTGGGGTGCCAAGGGGGAAGAGGGAGAGAAAGGAGGTAGAGGAGAAGGCGTGGTTGTAGTGGGCCGTGAGAATGACCAGCCAGTCCTGTAGGAGGAGTCTGCCTTCCCTCACACCCTCTTCCAGAGATGCACGGATGACCTGTGGGATGCCAAGGGGGAAGAGGGAGAGAAAGGAGGTAGAGGAGAAGGCGTGGTTGTAGTGGGCCGTGAGAATGACCAGCCAGTCCTGTAGGAGGAGCCTAGAGGACATCACGCCTTGTGCGTGAGAACAGAGTATATGAAGGAATTGAGGACCCACCTTGTGTGTGAGAACAGTGACAATGGCCTCGTTATCAGCAGACTCGTATATCTCCCTCGCCCCCTCTGCCACCTCCACACTCGTCTAGTCATGAGACGTCCCAAGGGTAAAAAGGAAGAGAGGACCCACCTTGTGTGTGAGAACAGTGAGAATGGACTCGTTATCAGCAGATTCGTATATCTCCCTAGCCCCCTTTGCCACATCCACACATATTGTCTTCACTCTCAGCCTCCGCCTCAGCACCACCCCTCTCCTCTTCCCACCCTTCCTCCCATTGCTGCTGTTGCTGCTCCCCACCCCACCTCCTCCCCCTTCTCCCGCCTTTCCCCCCTCCTTCTCTCCCCCTCCTTCCTTCCCCTTTCCTCCCTCCATCCCCCGACCAGCAGTCCCGTTCACACCTGTAGCAGCCCCATCCCCGTTACTAGCCGCCCCATTACCCGTCCCACCCCCCTCGCCCCTCTCCCCTCCCCCTTCCACCGGAATAATCACTGTATACTGAAACGCCAGTTGTAACACTGCTCCCCGGTTACCACCACCACTCCCTCCCTTCTCTCTCCCAGACCTCCCCTTCACCCCAAACCCAGCCTTCCCCGCAAATTCCAAGTCAAACGCGTACGAATCAAATGGGTCACACCGAATGATATGATATAGATTCTCATACTGTGCATCGGGGAAAAAGTGACCATAGGCTCGGACGGCCCGAAGCTCCCGGGAGGTTCGGAGCCGGAGCACCCCGCCGAACGCGGAGGGTCGGCAGAGCATGCGGTAAATGTCTTGAGGGAGGGTAGCCTCGTCTAAAGAAGGGTAAAGGAAGAGAGTACCCCCGCTTTCCACACTTAAGCAACGGAGGGAGGCTAGGTCACAGTATGGGACGGGCAGGGAGGGAGGGGCGGAGGAAGGAGGATCGGCAATAGTCATAGCAGAAACCCCAGCAGCAGCAGCGGCAGCAGCAGAAGCAGGATCTACAGTTGCCGCACCCCCGGCCTCTCTACTAGCATTTTCATCCCCGTTACTAGCATAACTCGGTACAGCGAACAGATCCACGCACACCCCCGCTTGCACCGCAGCCGCAGCAAGCTCCCTATAAAACGGCGTCTGCTCCTGTAGCAACCCCTTATCCGCTACAACCGGGTCCGCTACATCCTTGGCGCTCCTGCTTCTCTGACTCGCCGCTACAGCCAGGCTAGCGAGAGCTGTATCGTACCGAACCGTACTCAACGCCCCCATACCGTGGTTCGGGGCTCCAGAGAGGAAAACCAGCAATCTGGCTCCTACAAAGGGACCTACTTCCCCTGCGGCCGCTGCTGCCGCTGCTGCTGCGGCGATGCTCACGTTACCCCCACCACCGCCGCCACTTCCACTGGTATTGATGACGTCAGCTCGAAGCCCTCTGGCTATTCTAGCACTCGGACCATCCTCCATACCCCCTAAATACCTAATTAAGGCGTCCAAAGCCGTTCCGAAGCCCCTAACACCGTCCTTCCTCCCCCCTCTCTCCGCGTCCTTCCCTCCCTTCCCCCCTCCGCCCTTCCCCCCCGCGCCCTGCGCCGCTCCTCCCTTCCCCCCACCGCCCTTCCCCCCTCCAGACGCGTCCAAATCGAGGGGAGGAGGGTCGGGGCGGAGGGTTTCGAGGGCGGCAGCTGCGTGCTCCTTGTGACGCGAGAGGGACGCGAGGAAGGCGGGGAGAGGGAGGAGATCGCCCAGGGCTAGGGGCAGGCGGTGAGCAGAGGAGGCGGGGATGGCGACGGACTTGACTGCCGCTACGGGGCCTTGTAGGTCATAAAGGCCGACCTGGTAGGGGGGGAGGTGTGGTGAGGAGGGGTGGAGAAGGATTCAAAGGGGGTGAGAACAGGGGAAGGGAAGCGGACGCGTCCAAATCGAGGGGGGGAGGGTCAGGGCGGAGGGTCTCGAGGGCGGCAGCTGCATGCTCCTTGTGACGTGAGAGGGACGCGAGGAAGGCGGGCAGAGGCAGGAGATCGCCCAGGGCTAGGGGCAGGCGGTGAGCAGAGGAGGCGGGGATGGCGACGGATTTCACTGCTGCTACGGGTCCCTGTAGGTCATAAAGGCCGACCTGGTAGGGTTGGGGGGAGTGGCGAGTGGTGGAGAGGGGTGGAGAGGGGTGGGGGGTGAGTGCAGAGGCAGGAGATCGCCCAGGGCTAGAGGCAGGCGGTGGGAGGGCGAGGCGGGGATGGTGACGGACTTGACTGCTGCTACGGGGCCTTGTAGATCGTACAGACCCACCTGGTAGGTGGTGGAGCGGGGTGGAGAGGGGTGGAGAGGGATGTAAGCGGGGTGAGAACAGAGGGAGGGGGAGGCGGAGGCGGGGATGGCGACGGACTTGACTGCTGCTACGGGGCCTTGTAGATCGTACAGACCCACCTGGTAGGGGGAGCGGACGGAAGGAGTGGTGGGAAGGGGTGGAGAGGGATGGAGAGGGTTGTTAGGGGAGGGCTAAGGGCAGGCGGTGAGCTGAGGGGATGGCGACGGATCTCACTGCTGCCACGGGGCCCTGTAGGTCGTACAGACCGACCTGTGAAGAGGGAGGGCGGAGTGGGGAGTGGTTGGGAGGGGTGGAGAGGGTTGCACGGGGATGGCGACGGATCTCACTGCTGCTATGGGGCCCTGTCGTACAGACCGACCTGGTGGGTCCGTACGATCGTGAAGCGCTCACCTTGCTTCCGAAAGTAACCAGGCCGAACAGTGCAGCCGGCGAAAGCGCTTCTAAAGCGGCCAGCAGCGAGCTCTTAACGAGTTCCAGAAACTCCTCTGAGCCTGACACGTCAACCATGGCGATATACACCGGCCGCTTGCGAATCTCCGCTTCGTCCAACACGTGGCAGCTGCTGATTGGCTCTCCCAACCCATGCGGAGTCGAACCCGCGACCTCTCCGTCGCCCTGCGACTCTCCTTGCTCGAATTCCACTTCGTCAGCGTCGCCCTCCGCGGCAACGTCCAGCTCGACGAGCGTGTGCGACAGCTCTGCGACGTCTGCGACGTTCGATCCCCCGTAGCGACGCAGCTCCGCGTCGCTGAACGGATTCACGACGTCGCACAGCGAGCACCGCCAAGAAAACCGATCGATCGCACAGTACCGATTGATATACGCATAGCAATCCTCGCACCGCGCCACGTCATCAGCTAGCGGAAGCGGCGCCGGCGAAAGCGCCGCGGGAAGCGGCTGCAGAGCCGTGCCGCCAGACGCAGAATTAAGAGACGACGACGAGCCGAAGCGCGGGATAGAGGAATTAGAAGACGATTTTCGAATGCTGCTTCCGCCGGTGCCGACGCTCGCGGCGACGCCGCTTCCCGGGATTCCCGCTTCGTCATCGAGAGCGAATGGTTGGACAACGCAGCCCCACGGGAGACCCGTCGCATCGCGCGATTCCGGATCGAGCGGAAACTTGTTCACCGTGAAACGAATGGCCATCCCGAAGACTGGCGATAAAAAATTCCGCGATTTGGTGATCTGGTTACCGGATTGGAACGGATATCGGAATGCTCGCGACCGTTTGCCTGACCAGGCGAAAACTACTTACGAAAACGATGGGTCAGCCACGGCATTGGCTTCGCTACGAGAAAACAATGGGAACGAGGTAAGCGAGCTTCAGCTGATCATCGAAACGCTAAGGACGTCGAGTTTACGACACGGATTGTTCAAGGAGCTAGCTGAAGTAGTACCGAGCAACGCGTAATGTGGTTTGGAATGTTACGATCTACCAGAACTGCACCACCGAGAGTGCACAATAGAAGATCTGTCCAGCCAGAACAGCGAAAGAGGTTCCTACCTTAGTCGTTCCTAATCTCCTCGCCGGTTTCCCAACGAATCTGGATTCCTGAACATATCGTAGGAATTTCTGCTGGTCGTCGAGCCCCCACCATGCTGTACCGCACTGCATCCCAATGAGGTTAGCACCGTGCACAACCACTCCAAAAGTTCAAACTTTTCGCCTTCTCCAAACCAGTAGATTGAACTGCCATCCGTCCCGCCAAATCAGCCGTCAAGAGAGCCGTTCGGCCCACAAGATCCAACTTCAAGAGACTCATCAAAACGAGGAAGCGCGCCAAAACACGAACCCATAAATTGGAGGTTCTGCCGGGATTCGAACCCAGGTTGCTGGATTCAAAGTCCAGAGTGCTAACCACTGCACCACAGAACCGATGTATGTCGACTCGATGTAAAAGATTTGGCCCCTGAAGTCAGCACGGTGCATGGCGGGGTGAGGTTCACCACTGACGCTGCTGCTGAGGTGGGTGCGAGAAGGTTCCACGAAAGAGCACGTGGTGATGGTATTGTAAAGAGGATACGGGGAAGGGTGAAGAGGGAAGGAACGAAAGAGAAGGGATGATCAGGTGTGACGCCTAATTCCCTGAATCTTAAACCCTGAATTCTAAATTCCAGAAATTAAACCCTGAATCTTAAGCGCTAAGTGTTGAGCCTGAGCCTGACTTCGTCTCCTGCCTGTTTTGGATTCGGTTCTGTCTGACTGACTGCAGGAGCTGCAGCAGCTGAGGGCGGTGGACAACCTATACGCGTTTGTAGCCTCAAGAGAGGTGCGTCATACGCCCAGAAATTTATGTACTGCTGCTGCTGCTGCTGCCTTTCCTAACCAACACCAAAAATCTGAGACATTTATTCCTTGCGCCACCACCTCCCTGCTCTGCTGCTTGATCAATCAGGACGTGCCACATGGCAAGGAGGCAATCGACTACTTCACCGCACTGCCAGCTCAGGTACAATTTGCTGCCGTGCCAACTTTACATAGGTTGTGCATTGCCAGCTCAGCAATGCCAGCTCAGCATTGGCATGCCATGACTGATATACTATGTGCTCTACTGTTCCCTTTTTTATACCCACCCGCCTATCCTCGACCTCACCTGCCACGTCAGCAGATAGACTGGCAGCCAGCCCTCTTGCTCTTCCACCAATGGCAGCAGCGCAGGGAGGATGGGATGACGTCAGCAGCAGGCAAGAACAGGCAGGAGCTGACGTCATCAACAGAAGCGCATGACAAATCACCTGAGAGGAAGAGGCTGAGGCAGGAGGGAGAGGGTGCGGTGGTGGTAACACCTGGGGCAACAGACACTGCTGATGTGACACCACCTGAAGGAGCACCTGGGGGAACACCTGAAGGAGCACCTGGGGGAACACCTGAAGGAGCACCTGAGGGAACGCATGCGGGAGGCAAGGCAGCGGCGGCGACGGCGGCGGTGGCAGAAGCAGCAGCAACAGGAAAGGCAGCAGAGAGGCAGGGATCCGGTGGGCTGCAGTTTCGGGTGACCTGTCACCGAGTGTGCATGAAGCAAACCAAGCACGGGTTCTCCTCCCCTGAAGCTGCTGGTAAGTCCTCTTTATAGAAACAACAGGAGCAGCAGAGAGGCAGGGATCCGGTGGGCTGCAGTTTCGGGTGACCTGTCACCGGGTGTGCATGAAGCAAACCAAGCACGGGTTCTCCTCCCCTGAAGCCGCTGGTACGTCCTCTTTATAGAAACAACAGGAGCAGCAGAGAGGCAGGGATCCGGTGGGCTGCAGTTCCGGGTGACCTGTCACCGGGTGTGCGTGTGCGTGTGTGCATGTGCATGTGGGATGGGAATAGCAGCAGGAGGAGCAGCAGAGAGGCAGGGTTCCGGTGGGCTGCAGTTTCGGGTGACCTGTCACCGAATATGCATGAAGCTGACTAAACACGGGTTCTCCTCCCCTGAAGCTGCTGGTATGTGTTTCACAACTAGTCACTCATATTACGCCCTAGATAAGCCAGTTTCGAGTGACCTGTCACCGGGTGTGCATGAAGCAGAGCAAACACGGGTTCTCCTCCCCTGAAGCTGCTGGTACGTGTTTTGAGAACCCGTGCACGGGTTTCCCTCCCCCTAAGCCTAAGGCTCACTCCATGTTCTTCGTAACACCAGCAGCCTACCTCTATCATTGTCACATGCATGAGCCGCCAAGGATGACTGACAGCCCGCATCTGCCACTTCCTCGTGCATCTGCATCCGTGCACGGGTTTCCTTCCCCTCAAGGCTCACCCGTTGTACTTGGTAACATCAGCAACCTACCTCTCTAGCATTGTCACATGCATGAGGCGCCAAGGATGACTGACAGCCGCTTCAAAAGGGTTCTCTTCCCCTCAAGGCTCACTCGGTGTACCTGGTAACACCAGCAAGCAACCTACCTCTATCCTTGTCACATGCATGAGTCACCAGGGAAGAGACTTTTGAGTCGACTCAAAAGTCACCTCGCTACAATGGCACACAACAGTATCGTTGTCACACATGCATGAGTCGCCAGGGAAGACTGACAGCCCGCATCTGCACTTGCTCACGCATCTGCTCTGCATGTGCATCCGCATCTGCACTTTCTCCCTCACAGGCGCATTGGGCGAGGGCCTTCAGGGAATCTTCCCGTCCTGGACTGTCAGCCTTCGCCAGTTTGAGTGTAAGTGCGTCCGCCAGCCAGCCAGGCAACTCTCTTATTGGCGTGTGATGAGTCGATTTTTGAGTCGAAAATCGACTCATCACACGCGGATTGTAAGTGCGTCCGCCAGCCAGCCAGGCAGCTCTCTTATTATTCTTTTTAGTCTGATTAGAAGCGAGCTTGTTTTAAGAAGCCTGCCTGTAAGTGCGTCTGCCAGCCAGGCAGCTCTCTTATTGGTTCTTTTGTCTGACTAAAAGCGAGCTTGTTTTGAGATTCCTTAAACCACCAAGGACACGGTCTTCTGAGATTCTCCTCTCCTCTCCTCTCCTCTCCTCTCCTCTCCTCTCCTCTCCTCTCCTCTCCTCTCCGTCTCTCCTCTCCTCTTCTCTTCTCTCCCCTTCTCTCCTCTCCTCTTCTCTCCTCTTCTCTTCTCTCCTCTTCTCTCCTCTTCTCTCCTCTCCTCTCCTCTCCTCTTCTCTCCTGTCCTCTTCTCTCCTCTCCTCTTCTCTCCTCTTCTCTTCTCTCCTCTTCTCTCCTCTTCTCTCCTCTCCTCTCCTCTCCTCTTCTCTCCTGTCCTCTTCTCTCCTCTCCTCTACTCTCCTCTCCTCTTCTTTCCTCTTCTCTCCTCTCCTCTCCTCTCCTCTTCTCTCCTCTCCTCTCCTCTCCTCTTCTCTCCTCTCCTCTTCTCTCCTCTCCTCTTCTCCCCTCTTCTCTCCTCTCCTCTCCTCTCCTCTCCTCTTCTCTCCTCTCCTCTCCGCTCCTCTCCTCCCCCCTCCCCTCCTCTCCTCTCTTCCCTCCTCCCATTCACAATCCTCCTAGTGGATGTGCTTGCATGGATCCGGGACTCCAATCTCACTCTGCTCATCTCACTCATCTACACGTGAGAGTTCTTCTCTTTCCCTTTCCTTCGCTTCTCGTGTGTTGCCTTCTCATTTGCTTCGTCCTTACTCTTCCATTCCTCTTCCTCGTCCTCCCTATCTCACTCTGCTCATCTCACTCATCTACGCGTGAGAGTTCTTCCCGTATCCCATCCTTTGCCTTCTCATCTATTCGCGCCTATTGTTCCACTCCGCCTCCTCCTCCTCGCCCTCCCTCTCATCTCACTCTGCTCATCGCTCTCATCTACGTGTGAGAGAGAGTACTTTCCTTCCCTTGCTGTCCATCCCCTTCCCTTCCCAACCATGTCTCGCCATACCTCACTCCATCCCCCTTCCCACCTGTGTTTTTTTCCACCTTCTCCTCCCCCCCTCGCTCCCTCCCTCTCCCTCCCCTCTCTGCTCCCCTTCCCTTTTCTTCCCCGCCTCCACCCCCCTAACTTCATATCCTCATTTTCATGCAAACTGAATACTTACATTGGATGGTGGTTCTTTTTGCTCACTTGTTTTCATGCATTTCACCCTTGCTTCTGGATTGTGGTCGTTTGATTGACAAATCTGACTCTTGCAGTGATTCACCAAAGACAAGTGAGGAGGGATCGAAGGAGCAACAGGAAGAGCAACAAACGGAGCAACAGACTGAGCAAACCAAGGGAGATGTGGACAAGGGTGATGGCAGCAGGGAGGGCAAGAAGAATGCGAGCAAGAAAGCGGGAAGGGCAGTTCAGGCGAGATCACACAACGCGGAGAGACAGGTGGGTATGAGGCAGACAGGTGGGTGCGGAACAGACAGGTGTGTTTGGCTCGAACAGCGGTGCAGTCCGGGAGGGTGTGGTCAAGGGTGGCAGCAGCAGCAGGGAGGGCAAGAAGAATGCGAGCAAGAAAGCGGGAAGGGCAGTTCAGGCGAGATCACACAACGCGGAGAGACAGGTGGGTATGAGGCAGACAGGTGGGTGCGGAACAGACAGGTGTGTTTGGCTCGAACAGCGGTGCAGTCCGGGAGGGTGTGGTCAAGGGTGGCAGCAGCAGCAGGGAGGGCAAGAAGAATGCGAGCAAGAAAGCGGGAAGGGCAGTTCAGGCGAGATCACACAACGCGGAGAGACAGGTGGGTATGAGGCAGACAGGTGGGTGCGGAACAGACAGGTGTGTTTGGCTCGAACAGCGGTGCAGTCCGGGAGGGTGTGGTCAAGGGTGGCAGCAGCAGCAGGGAGGGCAAGAAGAATGCGAGCAAGAAAGCGGGAAGGGCAGTTCAGGCGAGATCACACAACGCGGAGAGACAGGTGGGTATGAGGCAGACAGGTGGGTGCGGAACAGACAGGTGTGTTTGGCTCGAACAGCGGTGCAGTCCGGGAGGGTGTGGTCAAGGGTGGCAGCAGCAGCAGGGAGGGCAAGAAGAATGCGAGCAAGAAAGCGGGAAGGGCAGTTCAGGCGAGATCACACAACGCGGAGAGACAGGTGGGTATGAGGCAGACAGGTGGGTGCGGAACAGACAGGTGTGTTTGGCTCGAACAGCGGTGCAGTCCGGGAGGGTGTGGTCAAGGGTGGCAGCAGCAGCAGGGAGGGCAAGAAGAATGCGAGCAAGAAAGCGGGAAGGGCAGTTCAGGCGAGATCACACAACGCGGAGAGACAGGTGGGTATGAGGCAGACAGGTGGGTGCGGAACAGACAGGTGTGTTTGGCTCGAACAGCGGTGCAGTCCGGGAGGGTGTGGTCAAGGGTGGCAGCAGCAGCAGGGAGGGCAAGAAGAATGCGAGCAAGAAAGCGGGAAGGGCAGTTCAGGCGAGATCACACAACGCGGAGAGACAGGTGGGTATGAGGCAGACAGGTGGGTGCGGAACAGACAGGTGTGTTTGGCTCGAACAGCGGTGCAGTCCGGGAGGGTGTGGTCAAGGGTGGCAGCAGCAGCAGGGAGGGCAAGAAGAATGCGAGCAAGAAAGCGGGAAGGGCAGTTCAGGCGAGATCACACAACGCGGAGAGACAGGTGGGTATGAGGCAGACAGGTGGGTGCGGAACAGACAGGTGTGTTTGGCTCGAACAGCGGTGCAGTCCGGGAGGGTGTGGTCAAGGGTGGCAGCAGCAGCAGGGAGGGCAAGAAGAATGCGAGCAAGAAAGCGGGAAGGGCAGTTCAGGCGAGATCACACAACGCGGAGAGACAGGTGGGTATGAGGCAGACAGGTGGGTGCGGAACAGACAGGTGTGTTTGGCTCGAACAGCGGTGCAGTCCGGGAGGGTGTGGTCAAGGGTGGCAGCAGCAGCAGGGAGGGCAAGAAGAATGCGAGCAAGAAAGCGGGAAGGGCAGTTCAGGCGAGATCACACAACGCGGAGAGACAGGTGGGTATGAGGCAGACAGGTGGGTGCGGAACAGACAGGTGTGTTTGGCTCGAACAGCGGTGCAGTCCGGGAGGGTGTGGTCAAGGGTGGCAGCAGCAGCAGGGAGGGCAAGAAGAATGCGAGCAAGAAAGCGGGAAGGGCAGTTCAGGCGAGATCACACAACGCGGAGAGACAGGTGGGTATGAGGCAGACAGGTGGGTGCGGAACAGACAGGTGTGTTTGGCTCGAACAGCGGTGCAGTCCGGGAGGGTGTGGTCAAGGGTGGCAGCAGCAGCAGGGAGGGCAAGAAGAATGCGAGCAAGAAAGCGGGAAGGGCAGTTCAGGCGAGATCACACAACGCGGAGAGACAGGTGGGTATGAGGCAGACAGGTGGGTGCGGAACAGACAGGTGTGTTTGGCTCGAACAGCGGTGCAGTCCGGGAGGGTGTGGTCAAGGGTGGCAGCAGCAGCAGGGAGGGCAAGAAGAATGCGAGCAAGAAAGCGGGAAGGGCAGTTCAGGCGAGATCACACAACGCGGAGAGACAGGTGGGTATGAGGCAGACAGGTGGGTGCGGAACAGACAGGTGTGTTTGGCTCGAACAGCGGTGCAGTCCGGGAGGGTGTGGTCAAGGGTGGCAGCAGCAGCAGGGAGGGCAAGAAGAATGCGAGCAAGAAAGCGGGAAGGGCAGTTCAGGCGAGATCACACAACGCGGAGAGACAGGTGGGTATGAGGCAGACAGGTGGGTGCGGAACAGACAGGTGTGTTTGGCTCGAACAGCGGTGCAGTCCGGGAGGGTGTGGTCAAGGGTGGCAGCAGCAGCAGGGAGGGCAAGAAGAATGCGAGCAAGAAAGCGGGAAGGGCAGTTCAGGCGAGATCACACAACGCGGAGAGACAGGTGGGTATGAGGCAGACAGGTGGGTGCGGAACAGACAGGTGTGTTTGGCTTGAACAGCGCTGCAGTCCGGGAGGGTGTGGTCAAGGGTGGCAGCAGCAGCAGGGAGGGCCAGAAGAATGCGAGCAAGAAAGCGGGAAGGGCAGTTCAGGCGAGATCACACAACGCGGAGAGACAGGTGGGTATGAGGCAGACAGGTGGGTGCGGAACAGACAGGTGTGTTTGGCTCGAACAGCGGTGCAGTCCGGGAGGGTGTGGTCAAGGGTGGCAGCAGCAGCAGGGAGGGCAAGAAGAATGCGAGCAAGAAAGCGGGAAGGGCAGTTCAGGCGAGATCACACAACGCGGAGAGACAGGTGGGTATGAGGCAGACAGGTGGGTGCGGAACAGACAGGTGTGTTTGGCTCGAACAGCGGTGCAGTCCGGGAGGGTGTGGTCAAGGGTGGCAGCAGCAGCAGGGAGGGCAAGAAGAATGCGAGCAAGAAAGCGGGAAGGGCAGTTCAGGCGAGATCACACAACGCGGAGAGACAGGTGGGTATGAGGCAGACAGGTGGGTGCGGAACAGACAGGTGTGTTTGGCTCGAACAGCGGTGCAGTCCGGGAGGGTGTGGTCAAGGGTGGCAGCAGCAGCAGGGAGGGCAAGAAGAATGCGAGCAAGAAAGCGGGAAGGGCAGTTCAGGCGAGATCACACAACGCGGAGAGACAGGTGGGTATGAGGCAGACAGGTGGGTGCGGAACAGACAGGTGTGTTTGGCTCGAACAGCGGTGCAGTCCGGGAGGGTGTGGTCAAGGGTGGCAGCAGCAGCAGGGAGGGCAAGAAGAATGCGAGCAAGAAAGCGGGAAGGGCAGTTCAGGCGAGATCACACAACGCGGAGAGACAGGTGGGTATGAGGCAGACAGGTGGGTGCGGAACAGACAGGTGTGTTTGGCTCGAACAGCGGTGCAGTCCGGGAGGGTGTGGTCAAGGGTGGCAGCAGCAGCAGGGAGGGCAAGAAGAATGCGAGCAAGAAAGCGGGAAGGGCAGTTCAGGCGAGATCACACAACGCGGAGAGACAGGTGGGTATGAGGCAGACAGGTGGGTGCGGAACAGACAGGTGTGTTTGGCTTGAACAGCGCTGCAGTCCGGGAGGGTGTGGTCAAGGGTGGCAGCAGCAGCAGGGAGGGCCAGAAGAATGCGAGCAAGAAAGCGGGAAGGGCAGTTCAGGCGAGATCACACAACGCGGAGAGACAGGTGGGTATGAGGCAGACAGGTGGGTGCGGAACAGACAGGTGTGTTTGGCTTGAACAGCGCTGCAGTCCGGGAGGGTGTGGTCAAGGGTGGCAGCAGCAGCAGGGAGGGCCAGAAGAATGCGAGCAAGAAAGCGGGAAGGGCAGTTCAGGCGAGATCACACAACGCGGAGAGACACGTGGGTATGAGGCAGACAGGTGGGTGCGGAACAGACAGGTGTGTTTGGCTCGAACAGCGGTGCAGTCCGGGAGGGTGTGGTCAAGGGTGGCAGCAGCAGCAGGGAGGGCAAGAAGAATGCGAGCAAGAAAGCGGGAAGGGCAGTTCAGGCGAGATCACACAACGCGGAGAGACAGGTGGGTATGAGGCAGACAGGTGGGTGCGGAACAGACAGGTGTGTTTGGCTCGAACAGCGGTGCAGTCCGGGAGGGTGTGGTCAAGGGTGGCAGCAGCAGCAGGGAGGGCAAGAAGAATGCGAGCAAGAAAGCGGGAAGGGCAGTTCAGGCGAGATCACACAACGCGGAGAGACAGGTGGGTATGAGGCAGACAGGTGGGTGCGGAACAGACAGGTGTGTTTGGCTCGAACAGCGGTGCAGTCCGGGAGGGTGTGGTCAAGGGTGGCAGCAGCAGCAGGGAGGGCAAGAAGAATGCGAGCAAGAAAGCGGGAAGGGCAGTTCAGGCGAGATCACACAACGCGGAGAGACAGGTGGGTATGAGGCAGACAGGTGGGTGCGGAACAGACAGGTGTGTTTGGCTTGAACAGCGCTGCAGTCCGGGAGGGTGTGGTCAAGGGTGGCAGCAGCAGCAGGGAGGGCCAGAAGAATGCGAGCAAGAAAGCGGGAAGGGCAGTTCAGGCGAGATCACACAACGCGGAGAGACAGGTGGGTATGAGGCAGACAGGTGGGTGCGGAACAGACAGGTGTGTTTGGCTTGAACAGCGCTGCAGTCCGGGAGGGTGTGGTCAAGGGTGGCAGCAGCAGCAGGGAGGGCCAGAAGAATGCGAGCAAGAAAGCGGG